CAGTTACTTTCCTAGTTATCTAAGGAAAATGAAAACATGCCCACTAAAACCCGTGCACAGAATGAAAAGCCGGGAAACAGCCAGGTACCCACTAACAGGAGAATAGATACACTGATATAGCCATACAATGGAATGCTATTCATCAATATGAAGGCCTGAACTACTTATACACGCAACAGCAAAGACAAACCTCAAAACATTATGAAAGAAGCCTTGCACAAAATAGTACCTACTGTGTGGTTCTAGAGATGAGACAGGCTGACTTATAGTGATGAAAATCAGAATAATGGTTGCTTCTTGTGAGGGGTGACTCAAAAGGGACCCTAGGAACTTTCTAAGTTGATGGAGATGGTCTGTGGCTTGAAGCGGGAAGTTTTATGCATTTGTTAGTACTAATCAAACTACATCTAAGGTCTCTACAGTTAAGATTATTCCACTTGTACGAAATTTAAACTTTAATCAAATACAGTGGACCTGTTTTCTGCTGGGCTAATAGAATCTCTTGTGGTTTGAGGTGCACAAACATAATGAACTGCTTCATTTTCTTTGTCATTCACATTTAGCACACTATTATGGGAAGAAGAAAAGTAAAAGAATTGGGAGGCCGCCTGGTGGACATAGTAACTTAGCATGTGCCCTGAAAAAAGCCAGTAAGAGGAGAAAGAGGCGGAAAAGTGTTTTTGTTCATAAGAAGAAACGCTCCTCTGCATCTGTTGATAACACCCCGGTGGGCTCTCCTCAGGTATGAGATCTGATTTACCCGTAACTTCCAGAAACTCAGAAAGAGTACCTGGCCTTTCTCGTTGAGATCCCTGCCAGTAGAAGATGGTTTGGTGGCCCCAGCACTGGTTTGTCCAGATTTTCAATGAACCTTCTCTCATTTTCCTCTAGGGAAGTGGGGGTGAAGATGAGGATGACCCCGATGAAGGAGATGACGATTCTCTAAGTGAGGGCAGTACTTCTGAGCAGCAGGACGAGCTACAGGAAGAGTCAGAAATGTCAGAAAAAAAGTCATGTTCTTCTTCTCCCACCCAAAGTGAGATATCCGCCTCACTGCCTGCAGACAGACAAAGGAGGAAACGGGAGCTCCGGTCCTTTTCATTTTCTGATGATGAGAACAAGCCTCCTTCACCAAAGGTGCCCCTTTTTTACAGTGCACACTTCTCGGGCTTCTGTCCAGATATAACTGTTAGTGATGTGGGCATTGCACTCATTTCATTATAGGCTTCAGTTGAATTTCCTGGTTGCTTTTTAAGTGATTCCACATTCAGTTATTTATTTGTGTATCAAGGATTATTTGGAGATTAACTGTTTATTAGGAGGAAGGTCTCAGAGTGGCTGCTTATCTTGAGTAAAAGAATATTTCATTGCTAGCTTATTTGTAGCCTTTTATAATAGTTTGGGGAAAATTTCCTTTTTAATATTTTTCATAAATGGTTTTATAAAAATATAATAGTTTTGTAGAAAGAAATTATCCTTTTGTTCTGATAAAGCTGTCTTATTTAGTATATTTAACATATACATACCTGTATATTATATAACATATACACACTAAAGAATGGCAGTTAAGTTAGTGTTTTAAAACTGGGTTGCTTTTTAAATATATTCTACTAGTAGCCCAGCGCACAAATCCATGCGAGTAGCTCGCTGCCACTTGCCTCAGGGGGTTGCTGGTATCTTTGCAAGTAGTTCTCTGCCCCACCCTCCTGCAGCTCTCCTCTTGTAGTTTGCTGCCCCGCCCTCCTGATGTTTGATCATTACACATCACGGTGTAACAACCATTTATATATCGATAGTACCTCTTTATTATATAGGATGAACAGAAGCAACAAATGATTTCTCAACAATTTAGCTAATACTTCTGTCATTGGAAATATCATCCCATTCACTTTAGCACCCACTGGAGAGTGAGTTGAAATTGAGAAACAAACGGGAGATTTGTTTAAAAGTGATTTTTCTCTGTTAAATTGTCCAAATGACTTCTTCTGAAACTTTGAGATAAAATTCCAACATTGATGTTTCTTATCCTGAGTTCCTAGTATATATGGGCCTTTGCCATCTTTGCTGGGAGAAATCACCTCATAAAACCACTTTAAATCCTGACTTGAGGGGTTATGAATTTAAATAGAGAGACTTAAAGAATATAATCGCTGTTACACCATTTGGTTTTGTTTTGCTGTGGGGAATGAAGGAAATCAGGATTGAAGTCGCTGAAGGGCTTCACCTGGACAGTAACCCCCTGAAGTGGAGTGTGGCGGATGTGGTGCGGTTCATCAGATCCACCGACTGCGCTCCGTTAGCAAGAATATTCCTGGACCAGGTAACCACGGCACTGTTCGTGTTTAGTAATATGTTTCTTTAGCAAAGGAATGTGGGTGTACTGGCAATTTATTTACAAGTCTTAGGAAGAATACTAGTATTTCTATGCAAAAGAAAAACTCTTTTAGTACCCATTTTAGGAATACAAATATGTCAAAAAGTTATTTATCTGACTTCCTTTATAGTTGAAGTGAATTTCATTGCATTGTCATTTTCCCTAAGAATTTATTTCCATCCTGCAAATATTTAAATGGCTTAAAATTAAGTATGTCAGGCTTTTTGTCCCCCTATTTTCCAAAATAACAGTTTGCCCATTTTAAGAAAATAATATCTGTAATATATTAGGCTCTGAAGTTGTGATAAATTTTAAGGCAAGTTTTCTGAGACAGAAATATCTGTAGCCTTAAATAAATATCTAAATAAATTTGTATTGATAATTGGGGAGATTCAAAGCTTAACATCTTTGGAGAACTTATCAGGCTTTTATGAATGTTATAGAGAAGGAAAACATTGAAATTCATTGTTAAAACCTTTCAAATTTAAAAAGAGTCCTCTTAAGATGTTTCTTTTGGCGCATTTAATTGCTAGTTAAAAGGCTAGTTAGTTTCCTGAATTTCTGCAGAACAGGAACTGTAGAGTGGATTCTTATCCTTGGTAAAACTTTGTTATTATGAAGATTCATTTATATGGAGGGCTATAAGAGGCATCTAAAAGAAAACGTGTGATACTTATTCCAAGGGGAAAAGTAATGAAAGCACAGGGACTCTGATTTTGACTGAGCCCAAGTGACTGGGGCTATCATGATTGAGCTGCTATTCATGTGCACGTCATAAATAATTTGTATTTTGTGTTTTTAACAGGAAATTGATGGACAGGCCCTGCTGCTCCTTACCCTTCCCACCGTTCAAGAGTGCATGGACTTAAAATTAGGCCCTGCCATCAAACTTTGCCATCACATAGAGAGGATCAAGTTTGCTTTTTATGAGCAGTTTGCCAACTGAGAAGGACAACCAAAGTGAGCTGTGTCTGAAGCACAAATGCAGCAAACCCTTCGCCTGCTCTGTGAGTGGAGCTGAAACAGCCCTGGGGCTCTGGGCCCTGCAGGTGTTGGCTTGTTCTCTTTGCACTTTCAGGGAAGGAGGTCCCACAGTGAGGAAGCAAACACTGCACAGAAGTGGCTCTCCTGCCAGTGGAAATGGGAGCATCTCTTATTCAGCAGAAGGCAGTTTTTAAAAAATGAAGTTGTGAAGAAACGACTCATCTAAGAATGAGCATTTCCAGTGGTGTGGCCCAAAGGAAGACTAACTTAGGCTGCTGGGAATCACCCTTTGGTTGTTTTCTTTGTGTTCTGTCCCTTCCCATTGTAGACTGAACTTTGTTCTCTGCTTCTCTTTCTTGGAAAGAGAGGACCTAGCTTTAAGTCAGCACTGATTTGAGACTGCACCTAAGGTGAACCAGTGCTTCCTTGTCATTGTGTTTTTTGAGCTATTTTAAATTAAAACAGTTTCTTTTGGGGAATGATTATGTGGCTCTAGGTTTTGAATGTGCAGTCACATTTCGGTCCAGTTTGAAGTCTGTTCTTAGGAGTCCCTTTGTTTACTACCTCTGTTGATAATTGAGCTTGCAGCCATGTGTGAGGTTTTTGTACGGTGCCATTTTAAGGTACATGAACACTAAACTTATGGCAGAAGTTGGAGGGAGAAAATACTGTTTGCTTTCTCAAAAACATTGTGTGAGCACTTCCACCAATTCCTTAACTGACCTGATCTAAGAACTCGACTAGCATGGGCTACCTGTTTTAAGAAATACCTCAAAGACTGTTGGTATTTCAGTTTAATTGCTATCTCCCCATTAGTTTTCAGGGGGACTTCAGTGGCTTTTATTGTGTTTACTTTTCTTTACAATTGTTTGTCATTTCTTAAGGTCCTTACTTTGGATAAAAATCAGTAGGTATTTCTTGGACCCACCATTAAGGCCATTTCCCCTTCTTTTTCCATGTCTTGAGGCAGGTAGTATAGAAGCACAAGAAAGAAAACAGGTTTTGAGGGCTTATGCAGAGCATGGAGTTTCTGTAACTACCGTGTTTCCCCGAAAATAAGACTTAGCGCATGGAAAGATAAGACATCCCCTGAAAATAAGACCTAGCACAACTTTGGGAGAAAAAATTAATATAAGACACTGTCTTATTTTCGGGGAAACAGGGTACTTATTCAGAGGTTAAAGATTGAAAGGTGGTTAAGGATTCTGGAAACCTCTTTGCCTAGTCAGGTTTATAATTTTCTTCAGTTAAATCTTTAAATTGTATATTATTTATATTCTGAGGATTCCTACTCAATAACTCAGTTTTCTTTTAGGTGTATCTTTGTCCCAGCTCAAAGTGACATGAGGCTACAGGTGGATTTCACTTACCATTGCACTAATAGCTATTAAGGATAATAGCATTTGCTATACTGGTCCAGCTGTTGAGGAAAAATAAAAGACATACATAGATTGCTTCCTTTCAATGGTTTGCTTTGCTGAGGGTATTTTTTTAAATTATCCTAGTCAGCCATAAATTTATAAAATAATCATTCCTCTTCAAGATTTGAAAATGTTTTGGAACTACAAACTGGGTAAATTCCAAACAGCTATACAAATATAAGGTATCGTAGTATTATAAAGAAAAAATTATTTTGATTCCCCCCCCCTTTTTTTATTCCCTTGCCCCTCACCTGTTTTTATAGAAATTGGTAAACATTCTGTAGTTTAGATCCTCTCTTCATTGGATAATTTAGGAACCATCTTAATTGAAGCCCTCCAACCAAGCCATCTATTAAAACACCAGCTCTTGCCAAAACCGGTTTGGCTCAGTGGATAGAGCGTCAGCCTGCGGACTAAAAGGTCCCAGGTTCGATTCCAGTCAAGGGCATGTACCTTGGTTGTGGGCGCATCCCCAGTAGGGGGTGTGCAAGAGGCAGCTGATCAATGATTCTCTCTCATTGATGTTTCTAACTCTCTATTCCTCTCTGTAAAGAATCAATAAAATATATTTTAAAAAAAGAAAAACGAAAAAACAAAAAACAAACACCAGCTCTTTGTTTAGGCTACTACCAGATATACCTGGAAAGAAGCTTCATTTAACCTTACAGCCCAGCTTTTGAAAATTTGATTTAAGTCTGTGCCCACGGAAGAGAAGCATATATAAGATGCTTGGGAACAATTAACATTAACCAGGTAGACTTTGGAGGAGGGAGGTAGCCTGAATAATCAAGTCTTCTGAGAGCTCAGCAGTCAAGGCACCAAGGTAAGGAAGGTTCCTAGAAGATCAGTGGGACAAAAAATATCTGGAATTAATTAACCTTGTTGTATTATTTAGGAAAATGAGATTTATTTTCTATAAAAGGAAATTCCCACATGCAACAGTGAACATGGGGTGGGGCAAAAATAGATTTACAGTTCCTCTGGAAAACAATACAATAATTAATAAATAATAATACAAGAATAAACTCACATACTCAAGAATAAACTGTAAACCTACCTTTGCCCCTCCCTTATTTGTTATATTGCCTCTCTTTTAACTTCTCCAGAAACCACTGAATTAGGAACACACACACCCCACCCCCCCATCTCAAATAAAGGATGAAAAGCTTCTGAAAGTGAAACAGATGGCCCTAAGTAGTCTGATCTGGATACAGTCGAATCCCAACTAACTTGTCTATGTTTCCAATGATTTTTCAAGCTCAGCTTCCTCCTAGAGAGAGGCTGACTCTAAATTGGAAAAGTAAGTAGTGTTTCTCTTACTACTTTTTGCATTCTTACACTGAGATACAATTTATGAGGCAACGGCATTAAAAAACAATGATATATCCCCAGCTTCCACTCTCGGATATTGGATAAGAGAGGACACTTGTTTGGAAAGTTGGCATAAGGCATTTTTTTTTTAAGGGTATAATGTTTAAGCTTCGTTTGCCTTTTAAAACTGCTGGGGCTGTGATTCCTATGATTCGGAATCAGATTTTAAGCCTGACTCTAGTTCACCACATTGGGGTGAATGTTTGTATGTTGCACTTAAGTGCTGAACTTTGCTTTTTAAAGGCACCAACCTCCCAGCATCTACATTATCCATATATACTTACCAACATCTGAAAAAGGGCTTCTTGGGAAATATTTGTTGACTTACGATAGGGTCACACATAGAAAACCAGTTCAGAACTTAGCCTTGATTTGCCTCTTCTCATGAAAGTAAAATTATTCTCACTGTGAGGGACAGGGCTTTGGACCAAAGCTCCCCAAGGACTTGAATACATTTTACTCAAGGACTTGAATACATGTTACTTGCTCTCTCGTACCAGTTTAGTAGCTAATGTGGTACCTGAATAGAGATTAAAAGCTTTAAAAGGCCTTAGGTAGAGTAGGACTCAGAACCATTGCCCTCTCTCAAGCCAAAAAGTATTTCCAGGGGACTCAGAAAACATCAGGGAATTGTTAACAGTAGATAAGATTTATCTAGATGGCGACATTAGGAAAACTGTCACAGGCACTATTTACTTAGCACCTATCACCAAAGACTTTTATATTTAAGATGCCATTTACTGATTTGATTGATGCCCATAGAAGCTCTGAGAGAGCTGTTAGGAGCTTAGCCTCAGCAGTGGAAATACACACTAGGTTTGAACTCTGGTCCCGTATATTGGGGATGTTTTATGTATGAACATGTAATTTCAAAAGAATTCTGTGTTAATAGTTGGTCTTATGAAGATGAAGAAGTCACTAACAAATGAAGTATAAATCTTGGTGGGGACTGGGTACCCCCTTTTAAAATTTGAATGTCTTTGGTCCTGGGTCATGGTCATGGTGCTGGCTCAGAAATTGTAGGATGGAGCATTCTGCAAACCAAGAAGAAATCAAGTGATAGTCATGCAATTATAATCCTTCCTTGACTTTATTCACTTTACAATGTTTCGCTAATGAATTTTGATGATTCCCACCCACTCGGTGAGAATGTGCATAATCTATCCAAATAAGCCTCTGGGAGTGTCAGCGCAAGAGTTCTTATCTCAAAGCTCTGTCCGAACGGGTCTGGTTCTACACATGCTCACTTGGGGTTTCCTCTGTGCTGATCCAGACCACACAGGTGGTCTTGTCTCTGAGGGCTGCCTTAGGGACTCAGGTGTAGAAGGTGGTGGGTGACAAATGCACTGGAGATTGATTTTCTTGGTTCTATTTCAGAAGTCTTAGATTTTCACAAGAACCAGCAAAACCAGGAGTGATGGTTGGGGGAATAGAGAAGTAGGCCTAAAACTTCCCCCTACCCCCCTTATGTCTTTTCTGACTTAACACAATTCCTGGATCTGTTCTGTGCTATGGCCTATCACAGAGGACTATTTCAAAAGGGAAATAAGCAACAGCCTCACAGGATAAGTCTTTAACACCAGCAGTGAAGTGCAACCCTGAGCCATGGGAGGCAAAGGATGATACTAAAGCCACCATTTCTGATGGGGGCTCCTGTTCTCAGGATGTGTGGAAGCTCAGTCCTAAGGGCTTTGACATGGTATAGTCCCATGGTCGGCAAACTGCGGCTCTCGAGCCTCATGCGGCTCTTTGGCCCCTTGAGTGTGGCTCTTCCACAAAATACCACAGCCTGGGCGAGTCTATTTTTGAAGAAGTGACATTAGAAGTTTAAAAAATTTGGCTCTCAAAAGAAATTTTAATCGTTATACTGTTGATATTTGGCTCTGTTGACTAATGAGTTTCCCGACCACTGGTGTAGTCAATCTAACTGCATGTCTAGCTTGGCAAATAGTGCTGACAGGATGAGGGTAGGCTTTGGGAACAAATCAGATCACAAAACAGATGATGAAGGCAGTTACAAAATTTAGACAAAAGTAAAACTGGACAATTTCTTAGCTCCTTTTGCAAGAAGTCTCTAGGAAAGTGTAGTTTGAGTGTTTCTGTTGAGATTTAAGCACTCATTTCTTTTCCTTTCTTTTTTGGGTTGAGTATTCTCTAAAGACAATCAGAGGCCTGTGAGGGCAGGACTTCTGGCGGGTTCCAGCACTGTCCTGAGGCCTCTTTCTAATACTCGTTGGAACTGATGCACTTTGTTTAATGTATGTTGTTCTTTTATTTTTACTTTTTAAGCTGCTTGTTTGGAACAGAATGAAATGCATATTGTGTTGTATCCTTGCTTGCTGTTTTTCTCTTAATTTTAAAGTAATGCATTGGGAATAAAATACACTTAAGGAGAAATAATGCACAAGAATACCTATTTAAAAAATAAAAACTTCCACCAAGTTTGATGTTATTTCAAGGGATTAAAAAATAACTATTTTGGATGAATATTTTGTGTGAGGTTTTGGTGGCTTTTTTTTTTTTTCTGTAAATAAGAATGTATATAAACTTGTGGTATATTATGGCAGTTCAAAGTGGTTGTGAGGAAATGAAAGCAGGTCTTAAGTTATGTTTAACTTCATTTAACAACAAGAGGGCTTCTTGCCAAGAGTAAATCCTTAGAAAAAAAACACTTTCCAGCAGGGCCTCATAGAATCATCTCCAAATGGAGAAGAACGTTCCTTCCTATTTTAATGAAATGAACCTTTTTAGAATTCTCCCCCTTCTCCTGCCGTCGGGGTTTTTTCCTCTCCCAGTTTAGGTACTTTTTATTGCCATTCAGGGAAAGTAGGAAGAGCAGTTTTCCCCTACAGTGACTGCTCCTGATCGCCGAAGATGCTTCTTGTTCCACTCCATTGCTTTGGTGCAGCAGCAAACAGGCCTTAAGGATTCCTCCGCCTCTGGATTTGCAGAGCAGTGCTTTGTGAAAAACTTCATTTTTCAGCTCTGAGTGCAATTTTCCTTGAGCTGTTTGTGTCTTTAAGCAATCAAGAGTCTCCTTATGCCCAACCACAGTCTCTTCTGCTTCCAGTACACATCCTCTTGTTTGGTTCTCTCTCAACATGGACTGCTGACTGTTGAGCATCTTCATAAGAAACCTTCTGAGACTTAAAGACAGTAATGCAAATTTCCCTTACCTATTTATTTTCTTCACCTGGTTTCCTGTATTTTCCCATGGTCAATACTTGTGGAGAGTTTTAAATTTTATAAATTAAAATTCAGTTTAATTTAAAAAGCATTCTGTTGCATGTTCTCTGTGCCAGGCACTATGTTGGACTCAAGGGTGAATAAAAACCAGTTCCTGCCCGCAGGAGACTCGCACTCGGCTGTGACCGTGCCTACAGCCTGACAAGCTCCAGTGGAGCAGCACACACGGGGGCATGTGGAAGCGCAGTGGGGACAGGGAGGTCAGGCAGGCCTCGAAGCCTAAGTAGCAGTTCATGGAGCAGGGGAAAGGAGCAGTGTTCCATGCAGCGGGAATACCACGGGAAGGTGTGGAAGTGCATTGTTACTGTAGAAGGCTGGAGAATTGGCACTAGGCGGAGCCATTAGCATTTTTCTGGATAATGAGGTTAATATTTCAGTTAACCAAGAAAGCTTTTGTGTGGCATTGAACTCGTGTAATTTGCATTTCTTGGTGGCTATCTTTGAGGGAAAATTTCCCTAGATAGGGTATTCATCGTCCTACAAATGGAGCCCAGTGTTACTGGAATAACACCATGTGCGCACTGGCATTAAGTAGATGCAGCAGGAAGGTCAGGGAATCTGCAGCACCAACAAGAGATGCCCGGAGAGACGGGAGAGAAGCCAGCAGGGGTTGAGAGGATAGGTAAGGCAATGTGGACTAGAGGCCCTGTTCGAGGTAGAGAGCAGGTTCCAAGGAGTCAGAAAGGGTTAGGTGGGAGGAAATGCCAAAGTGTAAAGAGACCCAGACACATACGAGTTGACTTTGTTTTATGAATCCCATTTAATATAAAAAAGGTAGAGTCATAATCATATATCCGTTCAATATAAAAAAGGTAGAGACATAATCACATATTTTCAGTATAAACCTTGTATATTGCTAACTGAAGGCGATTGGATTGAAATGACCATTTAAATTACATTTAACAGAGAAAAAGAAGAAAGTCAACTAGGGCTGACGGGTGACTCTAGGATAAGATAAGCCCGGACACCGGTATTAACAAAAAAAGTAGAAGGACGCATAGGAAGGCATATGCCTCCATGCCATACATAGGTGGTTTTCCTCAACCGCGAGCTTCAGAACAATCCAGGCTGCTTTCCGCAAAAGGTGGATGATTCGGCCCTGTCAGAACTACTAAATCGTAATCTGAGGGTGGAATCCAGGAGTGTTTTTTTAATAAATTCTGCAGGATATGAAGGGTTTATCTTGGAGGGAAAAATAATTTAGTCACAGACCGTCCCTGCTCCCGCTCCTCTGACTTGTGGCAGGTGATCCCAGGGCCGCTTTCCCACTCCCGCCTTTATTCACCCGGCTCACCTGTGACCCGGGCTCACGGCCCCGCCCCTCGCCCG